TCGATTACTTATAGCGGCAATTTTATATGTTAAATCTAATCAAATTATCTACCATTACCTTTTCTCAAGGATGTAAACCGACTACATACCAACAGTTATTAAAATTACAACTAGATCACATCCTAATGGACAAATGACTTAACTCAGTTTTAAATTTCCAATTATACTCGATAGAAGAATAAAAATTTTCAGATTAAGAGTGAGAGTGAGATTTCTTCCCTTAAGTTTTTATGGAAATTCGTGCTGCAAAGTCTCTATGGGTCCGGTCTAGATCTAATCTTAAGAAAATTCTACCGGGCCAGTGGAGGGCTCGAGTTAAAAAAAATCTTTCAAGTCTCTGCCCCAATATAATATCTATTTGCCCTGAAAAAAATATCCCAATATAATTTTTATTTGCTCCGAAAAAAATATATAAATAATACAAAATAATGGGTAATTATTTTATTTGACATTTATAATAAACTGTTTAAAAAATTGGTGTCCAAAAAGGAAGTTCCCAGTTTTCTTCAAAAATACTCTTCCCTAGACTAAACAAACGTTTAAGAGCGCGTTAGTGTTTGGACATTTAGAAACATATTATATATCACATTACAAGAATTCGTTATTTAAAACTAGTACAATTTGCAAAAAGAAGTCGAACCATCTTTATATTGTACTTTGTTAATGATCTACATTGTATCTAATTTTTAAGCCCTGCTCAACCTGATCCCCTACCAATTTTTATTTTATATATCCAAAAAATCTCTATTCTAAATTTTTTAAAAAAAATTATTTATCTGCCGGACCCCACCTGAGTTTATTAAAATATAGAAATTGATTTTTTTTTCAATATAATTTTGAATATTTACATTGAACATAATAGAGTTTTTTTTATCATACTACAAACAAATAAAAAATATTGGCGCTGTGTTTCTTGCAAAAGTATTAAAGTATATCAAATTTTAAAATTTAAACCCCGATTTTTTTATAAATGTATAAGACCTGTCCCGGAAATTAATTTGTGGGCCCTGCGGACTGAGCCTACTTTTGCAGACCTATTAATTAGCTAAACTTGTAGCTTTTAACGTTCTTAGAGATATAGTTTGTTTATTTAATAAAAAATATAAGGCTCCGATAATACCCAACGTAGGACCCAACATTTATTTAAATTAACACAAACATTGTCCATCTATTTATATAATCATCAATAAATGTCAATCATATTTATCCAATAGTATTATTTGTAGGAATATCCAATGATATTCCTTATACCAATTTCTTCCAATGATATTCATTATACCAATATTTTCCAAAATAATTTATTATCCATCATATGATTATATATTAATCTAGTTGCTTTTTCTTGACTTTATAAGGGTAGATATGTCCAATATGGGTATCAATCGATAGCTAATCAAATGTTCTACCCCTCTGGTTACACTCTCCCCCTTAATGGACGAGTCCAGACCTTTAAGAATTAGTAATATTATTGCTAACACAAAATATAGATATGGGAATCAAATAAAAGTTTATTATATATTTTTTGACTGTAATAATATGTAGAGATCTCCCAATCCCGGCCCGTAACCAGCTCAAAAGGGTTTCGAGCCGTTTATTTTATAAAATAATTTCTTCGGGCTGTGTCAAGCCTTTTTTTTAAAAAATCTGGCCTGGTAAGTCGTAAATTTTTAAATATGATATCACTCAATTTTGTGGAATAAATAGATATATTTTAAAATTTTTGCAAAAAATAGGTGCTAATAGCTAATATTTTATATTTGTAGTAATTTTAAAATAATAAATTTTTCTATATTTAAAAAATTCAGGCAAGACATGGTGGAAAAATATAAAAAAATTTGGGGGGGGGGCGGGCTTTTCGCGACAGGTAAATTTTTTTTTGTTCGATATCATGCCGGGCCAAACAAATTTCTAAAACGGACAGGGCTTAAAGAATTATGTCCGATGGATCACTAATTCAAAGTCTTTGTGTTCATGAGTTGAACTTGGGGAAGGGGGGAAGGGGGGGGGGGGGGGGTATTAAAAATTTGTTATCAAATAAAAGATAAATAAAAAATATTTTAACTGAAATAATAGTGATCGCTTTTGATCTTAATGGGTTGGACTTGGTCTGGAGAGGGGGGGGGGAGTAGTAAAAACTAAAAATTTGATATGAGTACAAAATAAAAGTTCATTGGAATATTTTTAGATTATAATGATCATTATCACTCTAAAGAGGTTTTCTTATTTACTTAAGTAGGGTGGGGAGGGGGCAGTGGCCCCTACAACAAAAGAAGGGTCCGAAGCAACTGTTTTTTTAAATTTTATTTCATTTTTTGTTTTACCACACCCATTTATAACCATAAGATTTCATGTCTCATAAAATTATTTTCCAATTTCAAAATATGCCCAAAAATATTAACCAAAAAAAATGCAAATACTTAATTAATAATTGTGGTATAATATAAGAGATGATAATGGACTGATCATATTAGAAAAAAGACATGGTGGGCTAAATTTTAACGATATAAAGAAAAGCTTCGAAATAATAGCTTTTAAAGACATTATTAAAATTGTAACGAATAGAAGTAATTCCGGTATTGTTGCGGTATTATCATTTAGTTCTCCACAGTAAACAAACTCCCTCTGTTGTGAATTTCTCTTTTCTTTATCTATACTCTTAAACATGTATCATAGTTTATTGGCCATCCATCTATTGTATACTTGTATACTTTAGAGAGTAACATCTTGCATTGTATTTTTCAATTCGCTTGCATTTAAAGGTGATTGTTCTCTCACCTATATTTGATCTAGTGTTTCTTTTTATACTGTGGTTCCCTGTATAGGTAATCGAGATAGCATATCAGCATTGGCTAGTTATTGACTATTTTTGAATTCTAATTCATATTGGTAACCTGCTAATAATAATGCTCATCTTTGTATTCTGGCAGTAGATGTTGTTAGTATATCTTTTCTTGGATGAAATAAACTCATTAATGGCTTGTGATCTGTTTGTAATGTGAAATTTTTTTCATATATAAATTCTTTGAATTTTGTAACCCAAATATGATGACAAGAGCTTCTCCTATTTGGCTATAATTTTTCTCGGATGCTTGGTTTTGTCTGCAAAATTTTGAAGTATATTGCTGACCCTAGAAATGACTCTAATTGTTTTAAGTTTGTTGATTCTGGTGCTTTTTTTACTACCTCAGTATTTTTTTCTTTAGTTATAATCCCGTATTTTTAAATATTGTGTCTTAAATATTCGACAGTTTGTTTGAAAAATTTACATTTTTCTATCCTTAGCTCGATTCCATTTTTGTGTAGACATATTAGTACCTTTTTTAAATTTGTTTAGTGTTTCGCTCTATTTTTTCCGGTTATTATAATATTATCTAAATAATAATCTACTCCTTTAAAACCTTTTAATAAATTCTCGATGGCTCGTTTAAATATTGCTGGAGAAGATGATAAACCAAAAGGTAGAAAACCAGTTTATGCTTGCAATCATTTTTTTATACCAAAGGTAATGGCTGAAAAGACATTCGTTAAGAATGATATTGAGGAATCTGTGAATTTTACCATTTAAATTCAAGTTAAGTTTTTGAAAAAATGTCTAAGTTTCGAAATATTCATCTTATAACTAAAACGAGGGATGTAATTATTACACATGACCTGGAGGTTAAAGGATCTAAAGATTTGTCCGATTCTGAGAATTAAAAATATATTTTATTAAAATTATTAATACATTATTTATCTTCTTCTGATGATGATGATGATGATTCTGAAACTTATGATTTAGACCTGGAATTTGTTTATTTACCTTATGGTTTACTTTAAAATTTTTCTACTTTCCTTAATTTATCAATTCTATATTTCTTACTACCTCATGGACTGCTGAAAGGGTGTTAAAAAATAATTAACTGTTTTTTTTGGAGGGGATGGTGTACTTTTCAGGGGAATATCTGCTTCCATCACTCAGAAAGTGTAGGGACCACGGAGAGGGGGAGAGGCGTCAGGAAAATTTTTATCAACACAAAATATTGATATAAGAATCAAAAAAGGTAATTAAAATATTTTTGACTATAATTTTAATATTACCTAATGTCATAAGGGGTCCGGAATATTTTTATAAACACAAAATATTGATATGGGCATCAAATAATTAGGTGATCAAAATATCGTTTGTCTGTAATGTAATATATCACTCTAAGTGATAGGATCTTGGCATTGTTGGTCAGAGATATTTTAACGGGCATAAAATACTGAGGGTATCAAAAGAAGATTATATAGGTATCATATATAAGCAATTAAAATAAGAAGAAAATTCTGATTCCCATTATTCTTGACGGGCTATCAGCTATTTATACAATAAAATAGAGAGAGATTATATTATTATTTAGAATTGATATTAAACTATTATGACAAAGATTTATTAGTAAAAATGTTAAAACATTTAAAGTGATACCCTTTAAATTTGTTTTTAAAATGTTTGTGGAATGCGCGAAATTATTATAGAATTATTTATGTATCTTATTCAGCTATACATTTTTGGTTAATATCTCAAAGGTCTGACAGCATCTTTAGCCTCCCTTATCTAATTCACCTATAGGCCTAGTCAGAGGGAATGCAATGGGAAATTCTCTCCCCTTAGTAATTGGCCTATTCTTGTGAATATCATTTTAAGCTAATAACCCCCCCCTATCTATACAATATATCACCATAAACACAAATTTGAAAGAAAAATAAGTAATGTTAATAATTTTTTAAAATAATGACTAAAATTCAAAAAAAAATTAACAAAATGGAAAACCAAAATTAATCTTTAGAAATGTAACATGGCCAAAGATCTGCAATATATAGACCTAAAGGCTTCCAAAAAATTTATGGAAAACACCTACCTCATAATGCTCCCCCCTAGCAAAATATAGCTACGATGAATGCATCCATATCCTCTAAAATCCCTTATCTACTTAATTCTTTGTTTTAAATAGTATTTTAAACATATTTCCAATTAGATAAACCTGAAATGACTACAAGGATGAATGACCCAACTGTGTCCACTTTGTGTTTGGCGTATCCTTTCTTGCATAACAGCCTTCTTGGAGCCGAACAACTTAATGGCCAATTTATTATCTGCCGGTTGAAATATAGATTTTATATATCTCTTCATATTTGCAACATTTTTATCATGGTAATAACTGCTCAAATTGGACGAAACTGCTGAGCCCGCCTCAACCCTATATAGGGAATGTTTATCAAAATCTTTGCTGTCAGGCATAGAGGTTAAGGAGTTACTTTTGAATTCATTTTCATTGAAGTTGCAATTAGAATTTTGCCCATCCCTGATATTGCTTTTTTCGCATGTTATCGGGCCATCTTTAGAATAGTTAAGATTTTTGCTGTTGTATTTTCGATGACTTTTAATAGGCATAAATCCATTGGTAGTGATTGTTGACATGACATTAGGCTTTGAATTTTTATTTTTATTGGTGTATTTTACGATTTCAAACGAAGGTGCGAGATCAGTTATGTAGATACCATTGTCGTTATCTTCTTCTTCGGAATCGAGAAAATTGTTTTTGCATTCTAGCTTACCGTTTGATATTTTGCGTTGATTATCTAAGAAACTGTTTGTAAAATCGTTTGCATTGGGCCGCTTTAAATGTTTATTTATGATTTTATATTTACTTATATGCTGATTGATATTTTCATTATCCATATATAGCAGGTCTATTCCTTTTTTCACATTCACCCTTCTAGCTTCTTTTAGAATGGTCATCCATAATCGCCTACTCTTATTCATTTTTGGGTGATTTGGGATTTTAATTTCATTTACGCTATTATTATTACTATTGATTCTAATATTGTTGATGGCACCGCTTGTTATGACAGGTGAATTACAGGAAAAATGGTTTAGATTGTTTAACGAACTTTTTTCTTTGATTATCACTTTTATATTATCATCAGAAATCTTTTGTGAACCCAAACTGTTAGCCGACCCTATAAGGGAAGTGTTACATTCTTCGTCCAGCTTAGAACTAACGTTTGCAAAATCAGCCTGGCCGTTTAATCTTGATATTGAAGATGAAAGTAGAGATTTGGTAATACGGGAGGTAGAACCTTTAACAGTTATAGGAATTTGAGGTATATCATTTGCCAGCGCCATATTTATGCTCGGGAAATGCGAATAATTTAAATTCGTTGGGGAATTTACTAATATACTATTTTGTATTTTTATGTTTGAAGGCTCAGTTATCTGATAAAACATGAATAAAATAATTTTCAATATTTTATGTGTAGAAATTATGAATAATGATTTGTTTTCATGGTGACACTATCTGTATTGTTTTTATTTTTTCCCCAACAAAATATGTAATTTTAAAGCAATTTTTTAAGAATGATGAAAATTAATGAGAATCCAATAAGAAAATATTTATCACATAATTCGTTTTTATATTATAATATTTTCTTATTAATGTGTCAAGTTAATACTCAAATATAAGGATAAATTAATATTTTTTAAAAAAAATAGTTAATAATCCTTTTATAACAAAATATTCGTCATATTTTTATATTATGTAGCAAGGAATTATTGGAATTTTTTAATCTTCAATTTCAAGTTTTAAGATTATCGTTACAAATAAATTAACATAATTTTTTTAAAAACCTTAAAGTTGTAACATTTTCTTCGGCTAAGGCAAGTGATTATATTTAGCTGAAACCCTCTAAATAAAATTTCTTTTTTTTAAATTATTAAAAAACAATTTAAAATTTTTATTAAGGATATTTTGTAAAATTAAACCACGACTGTGACTATGAGTTTGAGGGTCAGTCCTCACCCCCCCCCCCCGGCAATTTCTTTGATCCCTCAACAAAAACATTGATTGGGGGGGGGGGGGGGGTTAAGTGAATTATAATTTTAAAAGGTTTATGTTATTACATAAATTATGCTTATATATATGTAATTACCCAATTCAGTAATTTATTACAAATTATTTATATTTTTTGCTATAATAAACTGCGTATATGATACCTAATTCTTATTCTCAGTTACCTATTCAGAAACCATTTAAAAAGTAATGAATCTAATATTATTGGCGCATGAAAAAAGGATAACAAAAGAAATACGATAGATATGCAATTTTAAAGAAAGGGCAGAATTCTTCCAAGCGAAAATTTCTAGTTATTACCATGAAAAATAAACTCTAAATTTCAAAAAAATCCGCTCAATATATGTAAGACTCCCTATCCCCATTTTTGCGATAAATGAAAGAAAATATTGGAAAATTATGAGCAAATTTTTAAAATTAAAGTCGCTTGTGTGGTCGCCTATCAAAGTTTATCCATCTTCTTTTTCCAAAATATTAAACTTTTATATAACTTGTGATTACTATTAAGTATTAGCATTTTTATATTGTTGGATATAAAAAATTAAAAACTAATGATTTATAATCACTATAAAATAATAAATTCTTATCCATTTAAGGGCCTATATCTTCAGTAGATAGTTAACCTTATAAAAATATCCATTTATTTTACCAAGGACCTCACATATTTTGTACCTCATCTATTTTTACTAGTTTGCAACTTCTTGTCGCTTTCAAAAGAGATGCAAACATCTCTTCCAGAAATTGAAAGATAGCCTCCCTTCCAACTAATATGAGTGGTTTGTTACTTTCTAAAGTGACTTTCATCAGCTCTAATTGAGCATTGTTTATCTAAATTTACTTTTAAAATTAATATAAAATATTTTTATAAAAATTTTTTTGCATTTGCAAATTTTAAATATTCTTTTAAAATAAAATATATCAATACAAATTAGCTATATCTAATGATCAGGCGTGTAACCATTAAGGGGGGGGGAATTTCACCCCCCATAGCAAATTTGACTGTTTTTCTAAATATTATTTTAAGATAATAAAAAAAATTCCTCCGACCCCCTCCTCCCCATGCCCCATAAAAATTTTTATCAAGCAGAGTTTGTCCTTACTGCTAGTTGCATTAATAAATTATTTTCCTATAGCTCACTACTATGTAGAAATTTACAAAAACCAAATTTCGATTTGGTTCAATATATTGATTTGGAGGAAAATGTGGAGAGGAAGAATGAATGTAGTTGAATATTTCATAATATTTATATAGACGTTGAATCAAACGAAATCTTATAAAATATATAATTTCATTCCATTCTTAGATACTTTTTTTTATCACAAATTAAAGTACGGTTTTTAGATAAAAAACAAGTCTTTGGTAATCTTCAAATTTTATTACCTAAAGACCCTTCTTCGTTTTCTGATGCCATTATTGGTATAATTAAATATTTAGCAAAATTTTATTCCTATGATATTGATACTGAAATCAATTTAATCAGTGAATTCGAATTGTGGTATAAATATTCTACGTTTATTATTTTACCTGAGCATGGCTATTGATGCGCTCAATCGGTATAAGGAGGCTTAATTTCCAAATATTTTGAAGGTATTTAATATTCTTGCATGTTTGCCTATTACAACATATACGAATGTTGAAAACTTATTTACAAAATACTACTTCTCGGCTAAATGGGTTAGCTCTGTTAAATATCCACAGAGATTTTATTCCAACGACAAAGAAAATTCTTGATGAATTGAAAAAATTCCCACGAAAATTAAAAATCGCATTATAATTCTAGTATTTAATAAATTTTTTATATAATATTGTATTTAATAAGTTATAAAAACTTGTTTTTTAAAAATTTTCTAGTCAATATTTTATACAAACTACAATTAGTATTTTCAATAAAAAAAAATTTATATTTATATTATATGAGAATTTAAGCTGAGGCTAGTTTTCAAAGCAAATTTTATAAAAAAAAAATTGACAGTAAAATTTATTTCAATTTTATATTTTTTAAAAAAATTTATTTATAATATACCTAACTTAAAATAAAAATTGGGTTATAACCTTTATTTCTTCTTATATTCATAAGCGCGAATTAGTAAATAAATCAGGAGACCAAAGAAACCGTCTACTCGTCAACGCATAGGAATTCAGATTATAAAATCTAATTTCATATGCCATAGGTTCATTCCCCGAGGAGCCGATTAATCTATATTTTCTTCTTCTTCCCTAAATTATTTGAAATCCCCCCCCCCTTCTTCATATAATCATTTGCATTTATTATATTTCCATTATATCTATTATTATACTTTGTATTATGAAGTCCTTGTTTGTTAAATTTCTTGAATTTTCTATGTTTTGGACATGATTTTATTTTTATACTATCATTTTGTCAGATTTAATTTTTATTAATAAATGTTAAATTTAAAAATTAAAAAAAAAAATTTCTTAAATAATTAATTTATAAAAGTAATTCAAATAAAAGTTAAAAATATTAATATAATTATTATTGAATTATGAATAATTTAAAAGAATAGCTCAAAGATATGACCCGGCCGAAGGTGAGGAAAAAGCTGGCCAAAGGGGGTTTGGGGGCAAAGCCCCCAAATATCCCCCCCCCCTATAGGAAAATCCTGGATACGCCACTGCTAATGATAAACTAACCTTTAATTTATCATTACCCTCTGATAAGCATCCTACAGAACCCCCCTTTAAAGCGATCAATTTTTTTTAGTCAAAAGCCCCTCTGAAATTTTTCAATACTTTAAAATTATTTACATAATTTTTGGTTATCCCCTTTTTAACTTTATAATTAATATATGAAGATCGATTTTCAGATCATCTTCATTTACTTTTACTCATTTTTGCAATAAAAATCTACTTACCCCTATACTGTATGATCCTTGAAAAAGAATCAAGAAACTCCCTCTGCCGTATATATGAAAAAATTTTAAATTATCAATTTTATTTTATTTTATTTTGGCCATGATACAGATAATTTATATTATGCAAATAAAATTACAATTTTTTTCAAAAAAAAATAAAATATTCTATAAATTTGTATTATATTAAACAACTTTAATGTAATAGAAGCAAATGACAATTAACATTTTTAGTTTTCCACATTATATTACATAAACTGGAGATTAGATTTTTTTTTTTATTCTGCCGCATCTTCTTCCAATCAGACTAATGTCCTAGTGAAAACAATGCAGATATGGGTGCAAGAATTAATGCAAGATATGAAGATCACGGGTACCTTTTATCATAAAAAATATGTTAAGCATAGCTATTTGTCGATAAAGCCATTATTTTTTCATATAATCTAATCTTTCTATAAAATTTTTAATATTTTGAGGAGATAAATAAAAATTTCATTCACCTCGTTGAATAATAAAGTAAATAAAATCAATGAAATAATCAAGATTTTTAAGTAAGTGAAGTTTCCAACTGTATATGTGGGGCAAAAATCGCAGCCGTCGTGGGCTGCGATTTTTGCCCCACTTTTACAGTTGCTTCAGGATTTAAATATAATAAATAAATTATCCACATAAAAGTAAAATAATAATAAAACAACCAATTTTTTGGACATGAATAATATTATTACCAAATATTTTTGGGATTGAATACGTTTTAATTTATTTTTTTTAAATTACACGTATTGTAAATAATGAGCAAGTTGTAATTTCAAAATAATACAATGTTAATTATACTAAGTAATTTTAAAAATCAGTGGCCTACTCTTAATGAATAAATTTTAAATATGTTATAATATATATTACACTCCATAAGTCAGGAATCTAAGGATTATATTTATCATTTATTGTCACCTATTTATGATGCCCAAACAACTTCTCAAGGAAGGATCACATTCTATTTTTAAACATTTAGTTGCCATGTTATTTTAATTATAGAAATTTATGAGCTGGAAAACACAAAAAACAAAATAATTTTTAAATCTTTCTTTTTTCATTTGCATATAAATGTTGTTTTATTTTCTTCATATTAAATTTTAAAAAAAAATTTTCTTACTTTTCTTAACTTATATGCTTATATTAGTAGAAATGATATGATGTTCTATATTAAACATTACATTTACATAACATATATTAAAATTTATAATTTTTTAACTTTTTCCAAATCTTTTAAATGAGATTAAGAACAATTTATTTTTCCAAGAAAAATTAACATTTAATGAATTTTTATCCATTATTTATAAATGTGATAGATGGAAAGAATATTTTCAGGAGCTTCTCAACTTTAATTCCCACATATTGCATCTCGACGAACACTCCCCTTGTCAAAACCTTGTACAAC